GTGTTTGTCCCAAATTAGACATATTTCACCCAAGTATGGCTGTGATGAAGTGAATCGTCAGAACCCACAATTCTCAAATCACATATTCTTCAAATTTATCATTAGAAAAATTCAGGATTTCTAACATGATTATATACCAGAAAAGCTAGAACTAGCTCTTTCTTGTTATTACCTTACCTCAGTCACCAAAGACAGAATTATTTCAAATTAACAGACATTTTCAGGAAAATCTGCAAGGATTTTTTGGAGACAGGGTCTTGCTATCTATAGTTCAGATTGGCCTTGAACAAACTACGGAGATGAGGCTGCCCTCCATCAGAATATCCTTGAGGGAGGACTGCTAAGGACAAATGCAACTGAGAAATCTGGAATGTATTTAAATTTACTCATTGCTTCAAAGTGTAGACATTAAGAAGTGTTAGTTAATCCTAAGGGACGAGTTTAACCTCAAAGATGACAATTTTGTAAGATTTAGAGTTTAATTTGGTGATTTGTCACAACTTGACTGGTGCTTCTTTCCTTGCTGTCTTTACATTAAGCCATGAGCCCAATTATATTTTCAGTAAATGTTTGACAGCTTTTTACTTAGTAACAGTCTCAGCACTATTAAGCATGCAAGACTAACAAAAACTTTGGCAATGCATAAGTGTAACACAGTGACAAGAGAGTTTTTACAATTAAGTCTTCTAATACTGCCTTCACAGTGTGGAAATTGTGCTATATCCACCAAAAGAGGGCCCTGTCTACTCAAATATTTTAGTACCTCACCCCAGGAACAAACTCCTTTGCATTTGGATTCAGATTGCTCTTGACCACAAGATCTTCCAGAGAAGAGCCATCACTGATAACAAGATCATTAAATTGGTCTTGGATTTGGTTCATAGTTTGTGGGAGATCTCGAGCTGGAATAAACCATTCATGTTCTTCTTCTTCCAGCATTTCTTGGAAACAACGTTCAATAAATTCTTCTTCCCACAACTCCTCTTCTATTTGTCTGTTGAATTCCTCTTCATTTTCTATCCACATGTACTCTGCAAATGGATTGTCATCTTCATGAGAATGACCGTTAATAATCACATCTTCATTGATGATGCTTGGGCTAGTACTGCTGCGACCTGGATCTTTCATGGTTGGCTTTAGTTGGCGTTTTTAACCCAGTGCACGTCAGCGGGGAAGGCAGCCAACGAATCCTGTCGGCCTCCGCGGATCTCTACAGGCAACGCGGCTCCCCCGCTCAAGGCGCGTTTCGCCCGCTGCCTCCCTTCTCCAGTGCAAACACACACCAGCCCGGAAGTGTATATAGTCTTTTTGAGACAGGGTCATGCTATGCATTTCAGGCTGACCTTAAGCTCACTTTGTAGCCCAGGCTGGTTTCAAACTTGCAATGATCCTCTTGCCTCTGCCTCCTGAGTGCTGAGATTACAGGCATGTGCTACCATGTCTGGTAAGAAGAATAATTTTGATGTTTCTCCATTTTCCTAGAAATGTCTCAAGAGCAAAGGAGGATAGTTTTGATATACCCTGAGAGTCCATACTTTGTTTTTTTTTTCTTTTTGCGGTTCTGGGGATTGAACTTGGGACCTATATCCCCAGCCCAAGTCCATACTCTTAAGTGAAATAAATCAGACACACATGTGTAAATACCATATTGTTTCTCTGGCATGAGAAACCTAAAGTATAAATAAGGCTTAAAACGTATAATAGACAATGGGAAATAGGAAGATAGTGTTCACATGGGAAGGAAAACTAGGTAGAGGGGAGGTAGAAAGACCAAAAAACCGAAATGTACATTAGGTATTAGGCTGTGTGGGGTTCTTTTGTTTGTTTGTTTGTTTGTTTGTTTGTTTTCTGAGACAGGGTCTCAGTATATAGTTCAGAGTGGCCTTCAATTCACTAAGTGTGCAGTCTAGGATGGCCTGGAAATTGTGGCAATCCTCCTGCCTCAGCCTCCCAAGTGCTGGGATTTCAAGTGTGTGCTACCATGTCCAGCTTAGATATTGGGAAATGGGATGGAAACCTTTAAGTGAGAAGGGGAACAAAGGAAAAGGGAAGGGGAAAGGAATTTGGGTACAAGAAAAAAAGTTAAAAAAAAATGAAAAAAGCTTTTGTAAATAAGAAGAGTTGAAGGCAGGAGAGGAGAATGGTAATAAAAGAAGACAGAGGGCTGGCCAGATAGCTCAGTGGATTCAAGTGCCTGCTTAGGCAGATGCAGGGACCAGTTTGATCCTGGTTGCTATGCCGGCCCCACCCTTGGGGCATGCTGAGATAGCACTGAGACTGGGCATGGTGGTGCACACTTGTAATCGCAGCGCTTGGAAGGCTGAAAACAGGAGGATCACTATGAGTACAATCTGTGTAGTGAGACCCTGTCCTCAAAACATAAAAATAAAAAAAAGAAGAAAGATATATTGGGTACAGGTATAAATGTGCTATGATGAATATCATCATTATGTATACCTAAAATGTACCAATTTTAAACATTCAAAACACACAAAAGAAGGGTACGATGGAAGAGAAGTTCTTACTGTCTGACAGCCAGGAAGTGGGAGATGAGGTGGGGAGTTGGCAGGAGAAACAGAGTAAGTCTTGTCCCTAAAAGCCAATTCCTCAACTCGACTCTCTTGTAAGTTTCCTTCATTTCCCAATAATGGCATAAAATTATAAATCAATTAATGGATTAATCCACCAATGAAGTTAGTACCCTCATGATCTAGTCACCTTCCAAAAGCCTAGCACCTGGCCTCTGAGAGCCATTCTATTTATTATTATT